GGCTGTGCGGTGGAGGGATGATGACCTGGGGAGGGGGGCAGGGTCCCCGAGAGGGAAAGGGCCCTGCACTCCTGAGAAGGGTGTGGGTGGCAGGTCCCAGACTGCAGGGCCCCCCACCCCTGGAGGCGGTGGGGCGAGTGTGAGCTGGATGATACACCTGCAGCCTAGACCCAAACAAGAGGCTCCTGCCTTGATAAAGGGTCCCTTGCACACCCCACACCCAACCCAGACACAAGGCTCCGAGGAGCCTGGCCCTGTGGCTGCAACACTGGGCAGCATAGACCGGCCAGGTCACTCCCCATCAATGAAGACACCTGACCCCGTGTCTCGGGACAGCACCGAGAGCCCCGGGGGGCCCTGCAGGGGAGCCTGGAACGGCTGAGATGGCATTTCTTGCCTGCCTGTTAACAATACTAACAGCGGTGGTGACAGCTATTACAGTCACTGAGCTCTTACTCTGCGGCAGAAACTGTTGTGTGAGCTTCTCCACGTAGGACTTTACTCAATCCTCGCGATAACTGAGGTGCCATTACCACCCTGCATCATAGGTGAGGGCTCCGAGGAAACAAGGGGTGAAGGGCAGGAAGTCAGCAGTGGGGCTGGGACCCAAACCCGGGCAGCCAAGCTCCAGGGCCACCTCCTAATAACACTTCCTGCGAGAGGCTGTCTCTCGTGGGCTAAGGAGTTGGGGGGAGAGTGCATTCCTTTTTGGCTTTGTTAGTTTTATTTTTTAATGAGGAAGTGTTTTATTTCTTATTGACTAAAATCTATACTTGTCAGGGCATCGGAGGATCCAACGACTGACACTCTCCTACTCTGGCTCAGAGGAATGCGAGGTGCTTAGTAAGCACTCAATAGATGCTATCAGCTATCTTTTGCTATCACTAATAATTCTGCATGCCGGGTCTGATCCCTGAGGGAGAGAGGAGTAGAATTTCCTTAGATCAGAGATGCCCAGGGACCTGGCAGCTAGCTGCCCAGAGAGCGCCATCACTGACTGTGACCTCAGGCCCCTCGACCACCAAGCGTCTCTGGGAGGTGTGGACAGAGGTGTCCCATTAGTAGGGTCACTTTGACTCGGACCAGCCAAGGTGAGGGGACAGCACTTGGAAGCCCCAGACAGCAATTAAATGCAGCCAGTCTGTACTGTCCCACAGCGTTAATGCCAGCGGGTCCTGGCCGACTATCACCAGTGTCCCAGCCTATCCTCCCTCCCCGCCCACCGGCCCCCATGTCCCCCTGATACATCTGAAGGCAGGTCTGGGCCATGGTAGTGAAAAAACTAATAAAGGCACGGCCATCCTCCCCAACATGCTTTGACCTTTAAACTCAAGGGATTTAACATTGCCTCCACTGCTGTGTGTTTTGTGTTAACTTCTCGAATCCTCACCAGAAGCCTGCGAGGTCAAGCCTCCATGTTATAGATGAAGAGTTTGAGGTGAGGAACGTGCACGTGGTCTGACAGCCCCAAACGGACAAGGTTTGGGATTCAGTCTAAGACCCCTCCCTGCCTCCTCTCTAGATCCTGCAGATATAGACCTGGCTGGAATCCTAAAATTCAGGGGCCCACCTTCCAAGCCCCTTCCTGCGATGTTGCTTATGAACACACACTCACACACCTGCACAGGTGCATGTGCTAAGGGCAGGCAATCCACCCGTGTCAGTGATGTCACAGAACTGCTAACAAATCGACATGCCCTTTAAAAATGTGAAATGAATTATGTGCATCCACAGAATGGACTGGTAGGCTGCCATTAAAAAGAACAAGGTTCATTTTAAAGATGGAGAAAGTTAAACATTATGTGAGAAAACCAAGGTAGAAAAGAAGATGTAGTGTAAGATATTAACACGTAAGCAAACACAACAAGATGCTCATAAACATATAGAAATTTTATGGAAGTTTCCATGAAAAACTGGACAGTAAAAATGGAGATTTGCATGTGGTTCGGAGCTAGCGTACCCTTCGGTCCTAATTCACAGTGACGGTGAAATTGCCAGCTTTGACCTACAGACACAGCAATTTCATGCGGTTCTAACTAATATTTAACATTTTTCTTTCTTAAGCTATAATCATATTTTACTTCTACAATGGAAAGGAATGCTGGGGTCCGGGACTCAGAGAGACAGATGGGACTTAGGGCTCTGGACAACGTCCCTTCACGCCCAGTGCCCAAGCTGCCAGTGGGTAACAGAAGGGAGTGCTCATTGACAATCCCTCTGACCCATTTGTTAGGAAACGATTCTGCTCGACGGACACTCCTCGGGACAGCTTCATCCTGAGCCATCACTGGTCCACTGGGGTATTTTTCCCAAGTCTCATCACTTTGAAGAAATGGACGCAACACGGGGTCGGCTGCTGACAGTCTCATTCCACCACCTGACCAGCCTGGTGTCCACTCAATCAGAGCATGTCTGACACAGAAAGGGCGAGACGCAGAACCCCCACACAGCTGCCATGCCTCACCTGAGCAGACGCTGTGCAGGCCATGTGGTTATTTGTCCAAGCATAGAAATCACACAAGACTTCTGATCCCGCTGTGGACACTGCAAGGAGGCTGCAGGCTTCATCCAGCGCACAGTCTGCAAGCACCATGGGACAGTCAGTGTGCCTGTCTCTCTCAGGTGATGCTGAGGGCAGGTGGACACATACACCCCCCCCCACTGCCCCCAACACACCCAAACACACACACACACACACACACACACACACACACACACACACACACTCATCCGTAACATGGATTTCAATGACCTTCAGAGACTGTAGGGTTATGAGATAATCCTTGTAAACATACATGCTCGATAAATATCATTGCTGTTATCACCCTTTGCTGGCCATGACATTGGTACAGACAGACAAATAACTCTACAAGGAACCGATGTCCATCATTTCTGCTCCCTTACATTTAGCACAGCAATGTTCTCAGTACGTAGTATATGCATTATGAACTCTGAGGTGAAACTATGAATTGAATATACACTTGGGGAATCGACCCATTTACCAAATGTTTTGAGAAAGTGTATTTTCTCATTACGGTTTCAGTGGTTTTATTTGATTTGTCTTTCCCAGGTCAGCACAGAGTATTTTCCCACACGCCCGGCTCCCCAGCACCCCTTACCTGTCAAGCATTGTGTCAGTGGAGACCCAGAACCAGGGACTCTGGACCTGCCCGCCACAGTGACATCCGCACGGAAGGTCACCTTAGAGTCTGGAGCCTTCTCAAATTTCTGCATCACTGAAAGAAAAGCAGAATGATGACATTGGACTCTGAAAGGCAGAAGGCTTCTCTACAGAGAAGCCAGGAAGAGTGCCAGGCCAAGAAATCACGTCTATGTGTCTGTCTCATTCACAGTGCTTGGTCACACAAATGTCCCTAGGAGAGGAATTCCCTTTTAAAATAGTTCCAGGGGCGCCTGGGTGGTGCAGTCGGTTAAGCGTCCGACTTCAGCCAGGTCACGATCTCGCGGTCCGTGGGTTCGAGCCCCGCGTCAGGCTCTGGGCTGATGGCTCAGAGCCTGGAGCCTGTTTCCGATTCTGTGTCTCCCTCTCTCTCTGCCCCTCCCCCGTTCATGCTCTGTCTCTCTCTGTCCCAAAAAATAAAATAAAAAACGTTGAAAAAAAAATTAAAAAAAAATAAAATAAAATAGTTCCAGCATGCTGCCTCATATCTGATGCAGAAAGCTATGTATTTTCATGTCTCCATTTGCAACCTCATTGTCAGGAGGTAAGGAGAAATTTTAATATTATGCTAGTCCTTACCACTCATTTTTTTTCCTCACTGATGGTGATTTTTCTATCTAAATTTATATTTTCGTGTCTTGATCTTTGAGTGAAAATTTTCTTATAATTATGCTGTTGAAAGTTTTCCTTCCAGAAAACAATGTTTACTTCTTTCTGGAAAGAGGTAAGTTATCTTTTTTTTTTTTAATGTTTGTTTATTTTTGAGAGAGACAGAGACAGAATACGAGTGGGTTAGGGGCAGAAAGAGAGGGAGACACAGAATCCAAAGCAGGCTCCAGGCTCCGAGCTTTCAGCACAGAGCCCGACACGGGGCTCGAACCCACGAAGTGCGAGATCATGACCTGAGCCGAAATCGGACGCTCAACCGACTGAACCACCCAGGAGCCCCAGAGGTAAGTTACCTTTTAAAAGACAAATAAAACAGGCACATGCGGGTTCATGTAAATCTGAAGACGTGACACGTGGCTCAGGCGTTTTCATGATAGTAGGTGTTTAAGTAACATACTAGCATCGGTTTTTCTAGCTACCATCAACACGCCTGAATTCTCCACTAGGAATGACACAGTCACGTGCTCCTGGAGCTAAACAGGGGAGAAGAAATAAATATAAGATCTCAAGGCGATGAGACGCGGAACTCATTCTTGACCCAGCAAAAAAGCACTGCAGATAACTCTCCGGGAATGAGACTCATTTCCAAAACCAAAAATGCCCAGAGGTGTCAGCGTTTTGCAAATAACTCTCAGAAACCAAGCCTCGAAGTCGACCAGTATTAATTTTTTGCAGACATAATTCTAAACGTACAAGAACACCCATTCCCCTACTTATCTGTTGCTTTATAAAACAGACCTGTGTCTAGATGGGTTTTTATCACGTCAATAAATTCAAGACCACCCAGCGACCTTTTTTCCATTTTCGTAATAAATGCAGGGAAAAAAAAGTTTATTGCTTTTGGGATAAAGTCGGGAGAAGGGGATGCTAATATAAGAGACACAGCAGGCTTTAAACCTTCACAAATTCTGATGCAGAAAATAATTCTGATTTTACAAGGTAGTCCTTCCGTGTTGATCACTCAAGTTGCCAAGTTCATGTGCTTGGCCCGTAGTCAACTCTTCTGCTCTCCTCTCTTTCTCTCTTTTGTCTGTGTTTACACCCCTTGGTTATCTTGTTTGTAGAGACTGCAGGCTCCGGTCCAGCAAACACCACACAATATTCAGCCCTTTGTCCCTCAGGTGTAACTGGCACGGACAGATACTCCCGACATTGCAGGAGACTAAACAAAATTTGACGGGTCTCTCAATTTCCAGCTGAAGTCTTCCCAGAGGCTGAAAACGCAGTCACTTTAGCACTCCAGTTAGACAATCTGCTGGCTTCCACAAAAGGGACCCTTCAGGGATGAAGGTCTCTTCACGCTAGAGCATTCGGTGAGGAAGCTCATTGCCAAACAGAACAGAAACAATCCATGCACGAAGTTGCCAATAATTCCATAGAATACGGAGTTAGCTGGCAAATTTTTAGCCATTCTATTGGTACAATTTCCCACCTGCCAAGTTTTGACTTAGCAGATATTTACAAATGTCTTGGAAAGCATAGAGGGTCAACACGAGAGCCATTATATGTGATCATGGCTACGCGTCTGTCTCTTTCCAAGACAAGGACAATGTTCTGGGAGTACGTGAACACCTACTACCTGAGCCTGTGACAGAAACATGAGTTTCTTGTTTATTGGGTGGATGCGTTGATGAACAGATGACTGCCAAGACCACCGCAACGCCCGAAAACCTGGAGAGAACCCTATGGAGACGACACCACCCCAACAGCAGCTGATACCTCTGGGCACCTGACGTGCGATATGGAACCTTTGGTGAGGGTCAACGAAAAGCAGAATTAGAAAACTGGGTCCAGAATTAAAGGAAGGGGAGCTTACAATATTTCCAGGGGCCAAGGTCAGAGAGTAAACCACTAACTCTGTAGGTAAACAAAGGGTTTGCCACAGGCAGTATAGAGAAGATGGAGGGGACCGCCAGGAAGAGACCAGGCAGGCAGTGCTGGCTCTGGAGTCAGCCCCCGTCCAAGTCCTTTCGCCACCACCCCTCATCGGCCCTGTGTCCTGGGGCACATTTCAATCTCTGAGAGCCCGGTTGTGTGGTTGTAGGGATTAAATAGAAGAATGTGGAAAACCTGGTATATAACAATTCAGTAAGTGACAAGTCCCTTTGCCCGCCCACCCCCCCCCCCCACAAGGACACCTGCCTAAGTGCCAGGGCTTGTGAAACTGGCTACAGGACTTCTGGTGGCAGGAGAGTCCCCTTCCCTGATCACATTTAGGAAGGAATTTCAAACAGGCCCAGATAATAACAGCAATTCATTCATTCTGTCAACAAGCACCAGCCACTCTGGAATAGAACAAAAAGGTACCACTCTAGCCCCAAAGGATGATATTATCTGAATATCCGATGATATTATACTATCCAAAGGAGGCTAGAATCCGGAGAGGAGAGTGAGGTATGCAATTTTATTTTACTCCGAGAGCAATGCAGAACCACTGAAAGGTGGTGAAGGGCATTGCATAAACGGAATTGCCTTTTATTTTTATTCTTCTTAATGTTTATTTAATCTTGAGAGAGAGAGACAGAGCGCCGCAGAGAGGGAGGGAGAGAGGAGATCCAGAGTGGGCTGTGTTGACAGGAGACAGCCCAATGTGGGTGGGGCTCAAACCCACGAACCAAGAGATCATGACCTGAGCCGAAGTCGGACACTTAGCTGACTGAGCCACTCAGGTGCCCCCAGAATTGCCTTTTGGAGTAATTGTTGCAAAGCATTGCAGAAAAAGGGCTGTGGGGGGGCCACCCTGGGGCAAGAGGACAAGGTAGGGGAGGTGACAGTATAATCCCTATGGGGGGAAACCCAGGCCCGCACAAAGCGGGTGGAAAGGCCACCAGTCTCCCCCAGGGATACAGCTGACCTCTATACCCTTTGCTTTTTTTCTGGAAGATAAATGCCTCAAAATTAGGACTGCAATTCCACTCTCAAAGAGGAAGCTCCCCTCAAAAGCAAACCGATTGGATTCCTAGAAGAGGCTTTTGACATGCCAGTGGGGACCCAGCTTAACATGGAAATCCTTCTGAAAATCCAGAGAGGGAGCAGTAAACTCCCTCTGAGCTTTGCATAAGAAGCCCGAGACTCCGAGACTCCAAGGTCCAATCTGGAGGCTATTCATCAGCCAGAGCCTCGGGGAGGCATCATGGAAGCTGGCAAGGCTAAGCTCTTACTCATTAACGCTTCTGGTGCTACTGATGACACTGTCCTTTCTGCTCTGGGGGGGGGGGGGGGGTACTCTGGGCTGAACAAAGCATCTAAGGCTTTGCAAAATGCAGATTACAATCCTGGCAGCTGAGGCGGTGACAGGGAAGCAAAGAGGAGGGGAGTGAAAATGCAAGCACTCCTGTGCTAATCCCAGATGGCCCAGAGTCGCCTGGGCCTAGCAAACGGCTCTCCCCGCCTCTCCCTCATTTGTGATGGGCAGGTAAGATCGGCCTGCCTTGTGGCCTAAGGCACCTTCCAGCTTTAACTCCCCTGATTGCAGTTTTTGCCCAAGAAAAGGAATATTGGAAAAAATAATTAGACTCTCCTTGGATTTGCAGTTTATCCACAGGGACACACACACACACACACACACACACACACACACACAGACACACAAGTCCTTGAGAATCTTTAGCGCTTTGCCAGAGAAGGAAATGATTGTTCTGAGCGTTAGAAAATGAAAATGTCTCAGGACACCTGGGTGGCGCAGTCCGTTAAGCGTCCGACTCCTGGTTGCGGCTCAGGTCCTGATCTCACAGCTCGTGAGTTCGAGCCCCACGTCCGGCTCTGCACTGACAGTGCGGAGCCTGCTTGAGATTCTCTCTCCATCCCTCTCTTTCTCTCTCACTCACTCTCCCAAAAAATAAACATTAAAAAAGAAAATGAAAATGTCCCTCTTGGATTTTCTCGAGTGTTGTATGTGATTCGCTGCACCCACTTCCTTAGAGAGCAGATAGGCTACGTGTGCAAGTGTGCGCCTGTGAGGCGTGTGTACAAGTGTGCGTGTGCATGTGTGCAGGTGTGTGCTTAATGAGGAAGCAGCTAAATCCAGGTAGAAGCAGATCAGTGTCATGGAAAGAACGGGTTTGGGGGTCAGGTACACTCTGGCTCGCGTGCCAGGGATGTTATATCCTGACTAATAAGTCGCTTAGACATTCACACCTCTGTTTCCTCAGCTAAATAATTGGGGATAATAATATCTACCCCTCAGACCCACTGTGAAGTTCACCCATGACTGCCTGTCTAAAATTTCCGCAAGGGGGCCTGGCACGTAGTAAGTCCGTGCACATCAGGCCCTCGCCTCACACGGAAACCTGAGAGACCCCGGCCACCGGCACCGGCTCCACCTGGTCAAGGTTACAAAGGTAAGCCAGACCCCAGGCAGGAAGGCGACTCTACGGAAAGGTAGGGCAGGGTCCTGAAGACTTAGGTCAGAATTAAAGGCACTTACAGGCTGTCTCCACCTGCTCCTTGATTAACCTGAATCTCCTCCTTGTCCTGAAACATTTATTGCCTCTTCCTGTCATGTCACCCCTAACACACCGACCCCCCTGCAAGGCAGGCATTAACAGCCCCATTCAGCAGATGAGGAAACTCTTGAAGGTGAGTGGCTTGCTCAGACGACATAGCTAATGGAGGGCACCATTGAGATTAAACTAGTCCTGACCCCACTCCCATCCCACCGAGCGCTCTACGACAGGTATCGATCGGTTCACCCAGGACTTTCCCACCCATCACCTCGTTGAAGAGCTGTGCCCGGCACAGGGTGGGGCTCAGTGGAGGCTGGTTGTCCTCCTAGGATGGTTTTGTTGACCCTGACAGTGTCCCAGGAGGCAGGCAGGAGGCTGCTGGGGTGACTGAGGATCAGAGAGAGGTTGAGCAATTTGCTCTGGGTCACCCAGCAGGTAAGTTACAGAATCGGGACCGGCACTCGGGTCTTCCTACAACATCCAGCTGAGAGAGAAAAGCTGACCAGCTTTGCAGAGGCACAGCACCCACAGGAAAAGGAAACTCAGCTCGTGAATTATTTTAAAATTCATGGCTCACACACACTGAAGTATTTAGGGGTGAGGTTGCATGATGTCTGAAATTTGCTTTCCAAGGATCAAAAATAGAGAGGGAGAGAAAGAAAGAAAAAGGAAGTGGAAAATGCTAACTTTTTTGGATCTAGGTGACAGGTATTTATTTATTCATCTTACTATTCTTTCGACTCCCACGTAGATTAAAAATTTGCAAAATAAAATGTTGGAGACAAATGCATCTCCTACTTCTCTCCCTTTCTAGAAAGCCCTTGAGAGCACATGCCCTCTCCCCAGGTACGTGGCTGATATAACTCCCAGCACATACTCAGACACTGGGATTCCGAGAGTGGGGCCTCCGTTTCCGACCACAGCAGCCTCCGTCCCTCGCTGTCCACGCAGAAGGCCTTCCCGCTGCCCCTGTCCCTCTGGCTGGCTCGGTACTGGCCGTCCTGGTCGCACTGCAAGCCCGCCTCACTCTTCTGACAGTCAGTGACACCTGGAACGGAGAGACAGATGTACCATCACCGACGTGCTTCTGGGACCCCTCCCCTCGGGGCCCCCAGACTGCCTGTAGTTGACATCGCATGTCCAAGTGACGGATGCAGACACCCTCCAGCGTCAAACTCTTCAGGGTTCCCACCCTTTGGTCAAAGGATCTTGTCCAGGCCCCCTGTTGGGCCACTAAGACCCTGCGATCTGGCTCCACCTGTCTCACTCCACGCGCTCTGTGTCTCCACAGGGCACACGGCATTCAGTCCCCGGGGCACTCCCTCTTGCGGATACCCAACACCATATCCCAAACACAGGCTCTGCTCCCGGGGCTCCACCTCCTGGTGCTCGTTCTCTTCCAGCTTCAATGGGATACCCCTTCACTGCCTATCAGCCCTCCCCTCAATCCTCACTTCCTCAGGGAAGCCCCAGGCTTCCGACATCCGACCGTTACACACTCCCATCCACCCACACCTCTCCTCGCTGCTGGACCGTGGTTACTATTTCCATCTGTCTGTGTGAATGAACTATCCGCCTCCCCCTCAGTAGAAGCTCCAGGCCGGCAGGGACCTGATCTGGTTTTGTTCCTTATTGGATCCCAGTGCCTTGCTCAGGGTCTGACATAGGACACGAGCTCCCGCGCTGTAATACCGGGATTTGTAGTAAGAAATATATATTTGGCCTTCCTCTCGTTTCTGGCACAAAGCCCCTTAAATCTCCTGGCATTTCCTAAGTGGTGAAAGCGATAAAGGTGTCTTTTGTTACAGTATAGAGGTCACTTTGGGATGGCTCTTAAGGACAGAGGCTGATTGCTAGGAGAAGCAACTATGTGATTACGGCACTGAAGCTTTCGGTCCCTCTCCCTGACCTCCAATCACCAACGGCCAATGATTTAATCAAGCTCGCCTATGTAATGGAACGTCCATAAAACCCCAAAAGGATGGGGCTCTGAGAGCTTCCGGGTTGGTGAACACGTGAGAGGTGGGGGAGAGCGGTGCACCTGGAGAGGCATGG